ATTGCATCCTTTAGAAACCACTGATGCTGGTCTGGCAAGCAAAGGGACATCTTATTTTACCCATACGTAAAGTGATTGGCGAGCTGTAGGGAATGACAGCTCAGTTTCTGAAAATGGAACTGTGGGTTCTGCACGCATCCATTGATTTTCATTTTGGTTAATCATCAATTCTGGTTAATGATCAATTTCTTGGAGCTTCCCTGTGATCATACATATGGGATAGGGAAAGAGAAGTTGTCTCTGTTTCGCTGTGCATGAATTCTGACTTCCCCAGTCACAGAGAGGCTTGGAGAAAGCTGAAAGAGGCCAAACTTGACCTTGAGACCCTCGTTGTCTTTTTTAGTGCTTTTCATTCCTTACAAATGCAGACTCTATCCCTGTATAAGGCCAATCCTGTCCAAAAACACTAATTAACAACAGTACATAAAGAAGACATTATTTACAAATTTGGAAACCACGTCTCACCCTCCCTTCCCACTCTAGCGCCCTAGGTAAGCTCAGAGCATCTTACCTGGTCACAGTGGCCGCCGTGAGAGGTCTGGGGGTCACAGTCACATGGCTGGCATCCTCTGCTGGGGACCAGATTCCAGTATCCGTCTGCACAACGGTCACAGGCCCGGCCTGTGACATTGGGCAGACAAGGGCATGTGCCAGTGTCAGGGTCACAGAGGCAAGCTCCCCAACCAGGGGGACACTCAGCAGGATTCACCCCGGAAGGATGGCAGGAGCACCCTGGGATAATAGAGCCATTGCTACAGGTAAATTCAGGGATGACCCTGGCATTCCACAAACCACACAAACATTGTATGAATCACTTCTCCAAAGGGCTCAAGGAAGAGACACCTTATGATATTTCAGATTTATCAAAGAATCTAAGTAGGTTGAACCCATTCAACTCTTTCTGATCGCCTCACACAGCAATTTCATGTGGTTCTGCTGACTATGTTCTGAGAGCTCACGATTAGGATGACTGTAAACCTCACTTTTTCCACCTGCCACTCACAGTCTGAAAACAGTTTACTACGTTGACTTGAGTCAACGGAAATAGTTAAATATCTCCTAAAAATGAGCGGTTCACTCCTCCTCTTTTTTTTTTTTTTTTTTTTAGATCATAGACTCAACCCCTTGCCCTCTTCTGCATCAGTGGTTCCCCAATTGATACATTAAAGACACTGGATGAACTGGTCCCAGATCCCTGGAGATTGCCCTTAGTGGGTCAGAGGGATAGTCTAGGAATCGGCCTGTTAATATCCCAGCCCTGTCTGCAGGTGATCCCGGCACAGGCACCCAGGGCCTCGCTCTGCTGCCACGTTCCCCCCGGGGGCCCGGCAGACTTACTCCTGCAGGTCTGATTGACAGCCGATCCAAAGTAACCCGGTTTGCAGAACTGGCAGTGGGGCCCCTGCGTGTTGTGCAAACACTTCAGGCACTCGCCTGTCAGCTGGCTGCAGGACTCGGGGTCCATCACATCCGTGTTCTTGTTGCAGGCACAGGGCTGGCAAGACGCTCCCGAAATTCTGGGATTTCCGAAGAAACCCGCAGAGCATTCTCCACACTGCTTACCTGAACGGAGGGGAGAGGAAACAGGAAAGAGATGAGAAGTGTGTGTGTGTGTGTGTGTGTGTGTGTGTGTGTGTGTGTGTGTGTGTCTGTGTCTGTGTGTGTGTGTGTGTCTGTGTCTGTGTCTGTGTGTGTGTGTGTGTGTGTGTGTGTGGTAGGGGGGTGGGTGTTGGGGGATCAGGGAATGGAGACGGATACAGAGAATAATTAGGACCTTCAAGGGATAATGAGATGTCACACATTGGGGATGAAGAAGGAAAAATGTCTGAATTAAAACATTCAGTTTAATTTATTATCCAGTCAGGGAATACAATGATTATTCAGAACTAAAAAGCCCTTGGTGAGGAATGCATTCTAGTCCTTAAAAAAAACTACAGAGTGGTAGGCACAGGATTCTGGATCTTTCTATAACTGGGGTCACCCAAGTGTGCCTCGGGACCCAAAGCTGATCTCAGCCCCTGTTCTCTCTGGGGTACCTCCACCCTCACCTGGTTCTGGAGGTGAACCAGCAGCACCCTGAGATGGAAGTCTAGCAGTGAAGATGGTGATAGTGGTTTTCTCGATGTGCGCAGCCTGGAGGGTGTTTTTATTAAGCACTGTGTGGAGAAACCATTCCTTCACACCTCCACCTGCTACCCTTCCAACCACCGGGGAACTGTGGTCAGCTAGGCACCCAAACTGTGGGTCTACCCCCCACATTTCGGTTCATCCCATTTGGGAATGCTCTCGTCCGCCAATCATGGTCTCAGTTATTAAACACTGGTCAACCAAGCCAGAGTGGACATGGACAAGAAACTACATGGGAAGACGTCAGAATGAAGTAGAGACATAGGAAGCAAAAAAGAAAAAATTAGCCATGTCATTTATTATCATGGTGGTAACTATCGTTGAAGAAAATAGCAGCACCATATTTTCAAAATATGATTAAATCAAGTTGAATTCATGTTGTTTCCTTGTTTGCCTTATATTTTTACACTCATGCTTAAACTCTTCAAAATAACATTTTTGGTAGAGTGACAGACACAAATATCGAATTGACTTCTATGGTGTCTGTATGAGGCCCGAATCAGTGCTTCAAGACATTTGAAAAAATAAGTTGTATTTATTAAATATCAGTCAAATTGACTGGTTGGGATTATATAAAGAAAGCATTTGATTAAAATTTTATACTTTTTAATTGCTTATGTTATATGTTACATAAGACATATATTACTTAATCACCTATGTATCTTAGTTAACATGTGATGGTTTTACTTTAAATAAATTGTTTTGATTTGAACTCATTTGGTCAGTTAGTTTTCCAGAACTATTTAAAAACAGTTATAGCTCAGAGGAATGAGCTCCTCATTGTCATTGGTTTCTGAATCATTCAAATCCTTTGTTTGGTAAAGCAGCAAGGTACCAGATTGTGTCTTCTTACCATTAACTTCTATTCAGGACCACTCAATTGTTCAGAGCAGATAAATTATGAACATGGGATCATTTTTTAGATAGCATTATGGGATAGGAGCAAAAAGGCATCATGAACTAGACTGCGTACCTGCATAACCTTGAAGACAATTGCAGATCACATCTGAGCTCCACGGATGCTGATAACAGGAATGGGCAAAATACTGGCTACTTGAGGGAACATCTGGACATCGGCAAGGGCGGCAGGACCGTCCTGAAGGAGGATTCCCATAGTAACCATCGATGCATCTGGCAAGACAATTTCTTTTTACCAAATGTTCCCACGAAAAGCTCACATTAGCCAATGTGGATTTGCTATGCTTGAGGACAGTGCAACTCTCAAAACTCTGTATTTTAGAATGCTCACTTCTAAAGTGAAGTAATTTTTTGCTTTACATTGAAAGTCCCAAGGTGTGTAGTCATTAAACTCAATATAGTAGCAGTGAATTTACATGTCATATTTCAGGGACATAAAAAGCAAGGTGCCAGGCCAATAAATGCCTGTTTTTTATTTAATCAGACATGGTCTGGCTCATCACAAGATCTTGAAGGACACCAGGAATGACGCTCTCTCTTCCCCCCACCTCCCATAGCAATCATTCTACACTGAAATACCATTGAGTTTCTACCCAGTGGCCCTTCAGAGAGTGTTGTGACATCGGAACAAAAGAAACAAAATTAAACTGCATGTGGATTCTGTACCTTTCACAGTTTCTTCCAGTTGTAAAACCCCCGCAATTGAAACACGAGCCTGTCTCTGGATCACAAAGTTCGGCGAACCCATTACAAAGGCAAGGGCGGCAGCTGGGGAATCCAAAGTAGCCTTGCAGGCACCGGTCACAACGGCGGCCAGCCACCTCCCCCTGGCAGGAGCACTGTCCCGTTATTTGGTCACATACAGGGCTCTTTGAGCCTTGAGGATGACAGTGACATTCTAGACAAAGAAAGAGGAAATGCTGAGTGGGGGGCAAGTGGTGTGCTGGGGGAATGAGTGACGGTCCTGATTTTGTAGCAGCTGAACTTACTGTTGCATCCCGATCAGGTACATAAAGTGAGTCTGAGAACCTGGCATGCACTGAGTACCGGGTCAATGTTTGTCATACAATTCCCTGATTCACCCAATAAACAGTACGCTGTGAGCCATCGGGGCTTATAAGCATTGTTTATACACAGGACCTGAACAAGTAGCATGTTCTTAATGACTCGAACTTCTAATTAATCAAGTCAAACTTCAAGATTCTAAAAAAATATAAAAACCCCTCTCAGGGTGGTTGAGTTTTTCTTTTTCCTCAGTGAGATCACAGAGGCTCAATCCTTCTCTAGAAAATTGTTGAATCCTCGGAGCCAATCTTCCCTACACAAAGACAGGAGGTGGAAAACAGGCTTGCTCCTTTGTGTATACCCCTTTGTGAATCTCAAGCACTTCATTCTTTTGTTTTTTTTAAGAAAGGGACACAAAAATGATCATGGACCCGAGCACTGTGTGCTGGGTTGACAATGACCAGGAAAGCATGCCATCTCTCTGAATCATGACTAAAAAGATATGTTGTTCCTTTACCTGAAAGAATTAAGCTATCTGGAGATAACCACCAAAGACAGGTTTCTGTGGGGAACAGTATTTTCACTAATGGTTTACGGCGTGAACGGAGAACTATATCCCCTGAATACGGGAGTCATGGGACTGGGTTGCCACCGCGTAGGGACAAAGACCTGTCTAAGCCCATATTAACGTGCCGCTTACAAAATCAGTTCCGTGGCTGTTTGCCACCCCAGCATCAGAGAGGCCGATATCCAGGTGGCAGAGCTGTCCCCTTCTTTGACTTCTCAATCTCACTGTTCTTTTGGCCTGGCCAGCCCCTGGGTTTCTGTGCCAGATCATACAGCTGGGTTGGCACAGCCAACTCCTTTCCCAGGGTTCTCACATCCTCCCTGGACTGCCATCTCTTTGATACAGACTGCACACTCCCAGAAGCCCGGGCCGTGCTTTTACCATCACTCGTGACGCCTTCACAAATCTGTGTGTCCTCCTTGCACACGGGCCACGCTAATCTCTGTATCATTCCAATGTTAGGATATGTGCCGTCGAAGCGAGCACCATCACTCATGATTCCTAATGGCGCTCTGTATCCATTTGGTGCCCTCTGAACGGATCAATGAAATATGATAGAAAAATTTTCCCATACATTTTATCTACGTAGACAGACAGCCCGAGTCATGTCGTCAAATTCCCAGTCTCCTCCTCTTTGAAAGACCCACACTGATTTTCCTGCCTTTGAAACGCCAATGTTGTGACCATGCAGGTCTTCCCCCATCTGTTTTTTGCTACGTACGGTGACAGCCATGATGTCCCAAACCGTAGCTTCCTGGTGAGCACCTGTCACAGCAGCGCCCGGCCACGTGAGGCTTGCACTGGCACTGGCCCCCAAGTCGGCTACAGCTGGGCCCCCCCGAGCCCTGGGGGTGACACTTGCAGGCTGTGGAGAGCCAAAGAGGGCAGTTAGAGGTGAAGGAAGCGACAGAGAAGCACCTGGTCCTGTTGGGAGCTTTAGTTCACTTGCTTTTGTTTGGTACTTCTCTCATCCTCGATTCCTTCATCTGTGAAATGGGAAAAATATAGGATCTACCCCAGGGGATTATAAGGATTAAAGACAATAATGCCCGTGAAGTACTTAGAACTGTGTGGCAGGTAGTAAGTGCTCAATAAACATGACTTAATACACATAGCTTAACAATAAATGTTACTTAACAAGTTAATGAAAGGCTTAAAAGAAATTGTTTTAGTAATTAACTGCTCCAATATAATTAGCATTATTGATATTATTCCTTCAAATCCTGATGATCTATGTTGGTGCTGGACCATCCGTTTGATTTCCCTCCTTCTGTCTCTTTCATGGGGTTGTGGGCACCCTGAAGCCAGAGTCCTGCAGTGTAATGGGAGAAGCATTTGCCCAGAACTCAGGAACCCCGAGGTCTCACTGGAGTTGTCACTCTATAGCAGCGGTTCTCAACTGGGGGGAGACTTTGTAAACCCCTCCTCCTGGAACATATGACAAAGTTTGAAGACATTTTTGAATGTCACAACTGGAGGGAAGGTGCTACTGGTATTAGGTGGGCAGAGGGTAGAGATGCTGCTAAACCTCCTATAATGCACAGAATAGCCCCCCATGACGACTCCCCCGACAACAAAGCATTATTCAGCCCCAAATTTCAGAACGAGAAACACAGCCCTAAGGTTTAGTGAAATGGACAAGTTACCTAATGTGTTTGGACCCCAAGAGTCTCATTCACTGAATGAAAGTTTGAGGATGAAAGAAGTTGTTTAGAGTTCATTCTAGCCCTAAAATTCCAGGATTCCAAATAAGTATTTTAGGACCATTGTTCAGTATCCTAGCAGCCAAATGCTACTACAAGGCTCCTTTTTTATACACTTACTGTACTGTGTATTGGGATTCCAACACATCAACAGACTCTGTTGTATATCTAATCATTGGGAAATTGTCATTGACATTGATTGCTTGGAGTAGATGCTAAAATAAATTAAATCGATTCATTCACATTCTAAAAAGCTGTGCGTCGGTAGAGCCCACTGGGCCAATACTCACCTACTGCCCCGTTGTGTAGCCTGGCAGACATGCTGACTATCAGCCTTTCACACACACCGGGGAGCGCTTGAGGTCCCGTCTTTGAGGCAATTTCAACACAGTTGTGCAGCTGATATTCATCTAAATCCTGCTTGCTGCAGAAATTCTCCAATGAATTGATTTGGGGAATCAGACCAAGCTTTTGAAATAACGCAAAAAGAAGACCTAGGTTCATAACTGTCTCCTGTTCAAGATTCTAGTTGTATAAACAATTAGATCTATGAGAAAGTGCTTACAACGGAAGATTTTAGGATTTTCATTGTATTTAAGAAATCTTTAAATATTTACATTTATTGACTTGGGACAAAGAAAATAAGACTTTTTTTTACCATCCTTATTGTATTTTTAGCTAGCTCATAAATTTGTCTTAGATTTCAAAAACTTTTAACTAGGCTACTTGTGATAAATTCGGGAATTACGGCTTAGCGCATTCCATAGTATTATCGTGGAACTCTAAATCCACAGAACTCTCCTTTTAAACGTTTTGTCCTTTTCAATTCCATATGAACAGTAGTGTCCTACATCAAACTATCTGCCTCTTGGAGAGTCACAGTGTAGATAAACATACGAAAGGTCTGAGAAGTCCTGCAAGAAAGATATTTTTAGACTCAGTGCTTTCATGCTTATTTAACTACTTGGTCCTATATTCAAGTAACACTAACACCCCACAAACTCAGTATCTCACAGATGCATTCTGTGAATTGCCGGCTTAGAGTATACAGCTATTAGAGGGGCAGATGCATTGTTCTAAGCTTATTCTTGAGGAGGCATCATCTACAGTTTGACCCTATGCGAAGAAAAGCCATATGGTTATATTTCTTGAGAAGATTTTGCCTGTGTTATAAGCTATTACCACCTTAAATGTTTTTCAGTGGTGTGGCTGATGCAGTGGAGAACATGTTGGTATAAGAGAATCGATCACACCAAGTTGGTCAGCACTGAAATTAAGATTTAATTCAGCAGGTCAAGTTAAAAGAGAGAACCAGGGGGCCCAGATAAATCTCCCCTGGCCTTCTTGTTTTGTCCATACTGAACCTTGTTCCCATGGTCCTTTGCTTCGAGGACCCTTTCAACCACCCCTCCCCCCACGCCCATTCACACCCCTGGTCCTTCTCTCTTTGCCCTTTGACACGCCAGGGGTGGAATCTCAGCCCTGGATGCCCATTTCACAGTGTCTCCACGCCTCAAACCACTATCTTCATTCTCCCTGCATTCCCGGATGGACCACTCAATGCTCTTCCTACTCTGGCTTCACAGAGGAAATGGAGCCTCCCGCTTCCTGCCTCCCAGACTCCGAGCGCACAGGTACTACCCCTGTCCCTGGCTCGGCGCTTATGAAGAAGCGTCCCAGGGAAAGAGATGTCTGCCACTGTGCCTTCTGCCCTCGGGAAACTTCTCTGTGGATTATACTTTCTTTCTTTAATCTCTTCCTTTCAACTGGCATTTAAACGTGCTGAAATCTCTCCCATCCGTAAAATCACCTCCTTGATCTCATATATTCCTCCTGCCACTGCCCCCGTCTCTGCCCTTTGACTCCTTGATAGCCACATTTCTTGAAACATTGTTTCCTTGCTGTCCTCACGCCTCTTCCCGCATTTACTCTTCACGCCAATGCCGCACCTCTCCTTCCACCCATCCCTCAATGTTGGGGTCCTCGGGGTTCTCTCATCAGCCCCTCCCTTACTCCACACCCCCCTTCTAGGCGACCTTGACAATGCTGTGCCTTCAGTTACCGTCAGTATAGATTGCCGACGTCTCGACCTAGGTCTCCTGCCCACATCTCAGTTACGGGCTCCAGATCGGCACAGACAAGCTTACTGGTCATCCCACAGGCCCTGCAAACCAACACACCTGAAACCCGCTTTCCTCCCTGTGCCTGTTGGCAGGAGACAGTGTCAGCAGCTGCCAAGCTACTCAATGTAGAAGACTGAAGAAGGTCATCTTTGATACTTGCCCCTTTGCCATCAACACTGCCCACTGCCCCACACATCAAGTCAGTCACAAGCCTGGTCCATCTAAGCTCTCAAATGTGTCTAGGATGCATTCATCTTTCTTTGCCCCCCCCGTCCCTGCTCTAGTGGAGGCCATCCAGATCACCATGGTGGCAGCCCAACAGATGTCCCATCTTCCACTCTTTCCCCTTCCCCCATCAATTTTCTACCCTGTAGTCACAGTGATTCCTTAAAAGGCAGTTTGTTCAGCTAACCCCTCCTTCAAACCTTCAGTGGCTTCTTTCTCTTACCCCCGTGTCCCCCTGCCCCCCAACCTCCCGGCTCAGTGGTTCTCAATATGGGAGGTGCCATCCCCTAAGGGGCACTTTGGAATTCCAAGGGGTAGTTTTGGTTGTCATGGCCATCGGATGAGGTATGTTACTGGCTTTTAGCAGGTGCGGATCAGAAATCCCTGACGTTTTGACACAAAGGAAAATCAGCCCATGTTTCACCGAACATCCATGCAGGAGAAATCTTTGTTTATGATTATAAGGTCAGAAAGCCTTATTCTCTGTTCTAAAAACATGACTGCAACATGTTTGCAACACTCCTGCTTTCACGGCTGTCTCACACTGAGGGATTCTACACCTTGGAGCATGTCCCTGTCTCATGTGTCTGCGGCATATTCATGCCAGTGTGCATATTGAAGTACATAACGTTCCTCTATAAATCACTTTCCTTTTATGTCTCTTTGTATTCGCACACTACATTGACATTCTTTGGAAGGTATGTATGAAGGTAGGCTATAATGCCCATGAATTGCATTTCAAATCAGTAAAGAGTGTTGGAAAACATTTGCAATAAAAAGAGGAGGTTGAGTCGGGTGATGCTGAGGATCACTGCTTGAGGCACCCCGAGCTTTTCTGTTCAGTGACCTGCCATGGCTTCCAGTAGCTCTCAGACCACGCTGCCATTTCCCGTGTAACTGTCTGCCTCCCCCCTTTAGAGAGGAAGCCCCGGCATGTCGATGCTTGTCTCATTCACACCTGTGCCTACCACAGTGTCTAATTCACAGTAGCTACTTCATAAATATTTGCTCAATGAAGACGTATACACACCTGTCTAGTGTGGTCTTTCAAGTTGATACCAAAATGACTGCGTTCCCCAAACACAGACTGAGTGAAGAGAGATACAGAAGGAAGCCGGACAGGCTAGGGTTGGGGATGAAGGCAGTCAACCAGGGGTTCGTTATCTATAGTTACTTGTCTGAGGCAGTTTTGAGGAGGCCAGTCCTGGCACCCAACTGATGGACCAGATGGTAAGAGTCCCTGTCAAGCTATAGGATTTTGTAACTCACTTCTTCTAGAAACTTCTAAAGACTTTGTTTACCAAGTGTAGTCCATCCCATGGTTTAAAAGAATGGCAGTTTTATATTCTAGAATGGCTAATATACTTTCGACTCTAAACACATTTTCATGGAAGCATATATCATGAAATCAGGGTGACTGAAGGAAATTTGTGAC